TATTTGAACGTGAAAATATATGAGAATTCCTCTGATGAGAGATTTCTACATAAAATGATTATAGATAAAGTGTAATAAAAACTAAAAAAATATTTAATACAAGTAACAAAAACGCAAATTAAAAATAGAAGCTCATTTGTGATATAAATGACATATGAAGATATATTTTCATACTCCTTACTTCACATTGAAGAGCATCAAATCAAATAAATTATACTTTATTAACTTAATCACTGATTAAATAATGGTTTTTTAAATTTATTATAATCTTATTAATAACTTAAATTTATATCACCTGTATCTGTATGTGTAATTTTGTTAGTATATATATATATATATATATATAAACACGTACCTAAGTCACTCTACTTTTTAAATTCGCTCCTGTTTCATGTGACGGTTCTCGTTGATTTAACAAAGTGGCGGATTAGATGGATCATGGATGTCTGTTCAAAGAGTAAAGACGGTTGGTCTCTCTTCAATGTAGAACCGAAAAGTCCTCAATCTTTAATGGAGGTGGTCGGTGACTCTTGTGACTAAAATTTAAACAGCCAATCCCCTCTCTCTCGTGTTTTTTTAAATTTACTTTTATTTTTTTAACAAATAATTTAAAAATTATTTTGTACTGTGACGCAGACTCGTACAATGTATAACTTAGACTTTGAACCTGTTAGTAAATTACCAAAAAGAAAAATACAAGCTTTTAATAGATAATAATAAGGAAATCTTATAAAATTTATATTAATTAAGAGATGTATTAAATAATTTATTTAATTTTTTATAAATTTTTAAATTTTGTTTTAATGTAAAAATTAAATTGAGAGAACTCTTTAACTCTTCTCTCATATTCTCATAGTAAATTACCAAAAAGAAAAATACAAGCTTTTATTTTTGTTTGTAATTGTCCATACTTTGTAGTGCCTATCAATTGATAAAAACAATAATTGGGTCATATTCGATGTGGTTAGTGGTGGGGAAATGGCATACCAGTATATGTGTGCCTGCGTCGAGGAGTAATGAATGATATTTATTTGGACTATTTTAACTCATTTGTCTAATTAAAAAATTTTCTATCAGATAGTGTTGATAAATTTAAATATGAGTCTCATTCGTTGCATCAAAGGGAAAGAAGACAAATAGGTTTGAGATGGTGTAAGAATTATTTTTCTTGGAATGTGTTATGATATTTTTTTGTGATATTGGTTTGGAATAACTCATAACATATTAGATTTTTTAGGCCAAACTCATATCACCAAATTGGTTGTGTGTTTTGGTACCAAAATAAATTTTCAAAATTCCCAAAACAAATTTTCGTTATCAAATATGGTTTGGATTTCTAACCAAAACATTCTTATAACAAAACGGTTGTTTTGGTATTGATTAAAAATATAACGCCTAAAATATATCGCATCTTAAACCAGCCCATAGTATGGCGTTTTGGTATTTTGTAGGACCCAATGTACTGCCATACCCACTTTAACCCACCATGCTAACAAAAAATAGTTGTCACTTTCAGACTTGGCCCATACCTATTTCAGGATAATAGTGACATTCTTCTGGGCCTGGGTGTAGAACTCGTTGGGTTGGTTTAACTCATGTTGGGCTGGATCAGATCTTAAAGTGGAAAGCAATGGCTCCGTCTTGAGGAATCAATGTAGCGCTAATACGGGCCTTCCTTATACCTCGACAAAATTTCCACTTGCTTAGTTACCTTGCATTGTTGTTATCCCAAATAAGCAGGGATGGCAAAATTCCCACTCTATCCCATTTAAAAGGGTTATGGGAGTGATTAAATTATTTTGGGACGAAAATAGGGGGCTGGAATTGAAAACATACATGGTTACAGGGAGGGAATGGGAAAAAATCACCACGCAGAATTTAGTATTTCTTGGACTTTGAACCTGTTTGTAAATTACCAAAAAAATATATATACATATATATATACAAGCTTTTAATAGATAATAATAAGATGAAATTATATAAATTTTATATTAATTAACAAGAAATGCTCTGGATTCTTTTCTTAAATCTTGAGCTGAAAGATGTATTAAATAATTTATTTAATTTTTTATAAATTTTAAAATTTTGTTTTAATTTAATAATTAAATTGAGAGAACTCTTAACTCTTCTCTCATATTCTCATAATAATATTACTTTAATTAATATATATATATATAATAAAGTGTTATCTTGACGACGCAAAATATAGACAAAAGTCTTAGTTGTTCAGTAATTGTCCTTACTTTGTAGTGCTTAACACAAATTAATAGACAAAAGTCTTTCTTTTTTATTTATTTATTTATTTATTTTTGTTTGTAATGGTCCATACTTTGTTGTGCCTGTCAATTCATAAAAACAATACTTGGGTCATATTCGATGTGGTTGGTGGTGGGGAAGTGGCATATCACTATATGCGTGTCTGCGTCGAGGAGTAATGAATGATAGGACTATTTTAATTCATTTGTCTAATTGAAGAACTCAAATATAGGTTTCATTCGTTACATCAAAGGATAGAAATCAGGCTAGACAAATAGGTTTGAGATTTCAGCGTAAGAATCATTTTTCTTGAGTCATCATATTCGTAGGGTTTGTTTGGGATATATTATGATATTATTTTTCTAATATTGATTTAGAATAATTCATAATATATCAAATTTTTTGGTCCAAACCCAAATCACAAAATTAGTTGTGTGTTTTGGTACGGTAGCAAAGGAACTAAAATAAAATTTTGAATTTTTCAAAACAAATTTTTGTTACTAAGTATAGTTTCGATTTCTACCCAAAATACTCTTACGACAAAACAACTCCTAAAATATATAATTTTTGTTACTAAGTATAATTTCGATTTCTACCCAAAATACTCTTACGACAAAACAACTCCTAAAACATATAGCATACCAAACGGGTCCATCGTATGACATTTTGGTACTTTGTAGGACCCAATTTACTGCCATACCCACTTTCGCTTATTGTCACGGGCCTAGAGATTTGGCGCAGCGGCACGGCCCGTGCGGCACCAAGGCGTTGCTTCAGCTCGCGCAAGCGCCCTGGTCAGCCACCACGACATGCCTTCCCAAGGATACATGCTGACTGGTTTCGGCCTGCCTTGGCCTTGTCAGGGGAACGGCTCCAGCTCCCGACCAGTTTGTGCAGGGATGGCCAACTCCCTTCTTCATAGTCAAGTCCACGACCAGCGACAAGCTCCTCGCACTCAACCGAGTCGACCTGCCTGAACTCTGAAGAGGTACCATCCTGTGCTCCTGCATGCCCTTTCCCTGGAACCATTCCCAATCAAACTCTGCTCTTTGCCAACCAGCATGCGTGTCTTCCATCCTCTAAGCACTTTAGGAATCACTTCGTGACACCCTCCCCCACCCAAATCATGTGACGCCCTCGTTGCAGTGCGACGCTTCACTACTGCGTCTACTCCCTTCCAAAGTCTGCCTCCAAACAGTATACTCGCCTTCCCACCATCGCTTCCTTGTGCAACTCCCTGCACTGCACTCGCCCAATGATAGGCCTCAGACCAAGAGGACGTCCACTCCTCAAGGACGTGACTCTTCTCCGTCATGCCGCCTCCGCAACATCCCGAGCAAGCAAGAGCCTCTTGCCGACTTGATACTCGCCCTTCACCAAGGTTTGCATCACCCAAGGAGCTCGCACGAACTTTGGTGCGCGCGACCCTCCGGCCCTCCAGTGCGCAACTTCAACGGACGTCTCTTCCTAGGGAGATGGAGGCTCTCCCCCCAACTGCATTGATTCCTCCTCATCGACGCAACTTCAATGCACCGTCTTTATTCTCAGACCCCTCCCGGATCGACAAGGGGACACCCCACCGTGTTTTACCCCAAGTCCTACTCTGATACCATTTGTCACCGGCCTAAAGATTTGGCACAGCGGCACGGCGCGCTCGTGCGACACCAAGGCGTTGCTTCAGCTCGAGCAAGCGCCCTGGTCAGCCACCATGACTTACCCTTCTAAGGAAATATGCTGACTGGTTTCGGCCTGCCTTGGCCTCATCAGGGGAACGGCTCCAGCTCCCGACTAATTTGTGCAAGGATGGCCAACTCCCTTCTTCATAGTCAAGTCCACGACCAGCAACAAACTCCTCGCACTCAACCGAATCGACCTGCCTGAACTCTGAAGAGGTACCATCATGTGCTCCTGCACGCCCCTTCCCTAGAACCATTCCCAGTCAAACTCTGCTCTTTGCCAACCAGCATGCGTGTCTTTCATCCTCCAAGCGCCTTAAGAATCGCTTTGTGACACTATGCTTAAAAAAAAAAAGAGTTCACTTTCAGACTTGGCCCATACCTATTTAAGGAAAATCATGACATACTTCTGGGCCTGGGTGTAGAACTCGTTGGGTCGGTTTAACTTGATCCAGCTCATGTTGGGCTGGATCAGGTCATAAAGTGTAAAGCTAGGGCTAATACAAGCCTTCCTTATGCCTTTTAAAAAATTTCCACTTGCTTGGTTACCTTGCATTTTTACTTAGTGTTGTGATCCCATGTGAGTAGGGATGACAAAATATCCTGTCTCGTCTCATCCCGTCCCATTCCACCCCTTTTAAAAGGGATTATGGGAGTGATTAAATAATTTTGGGACGAAAATTGGGAGATGGTATTAAAAACATGCATGGTTATAGAGAGGGAACGGAAAAAGTCACCACGCCCAATCCGATTTATAAAGATAAATTACAATTTTGTCTTTATACTTAATTTTATATTTAATAATATTAAGTATATATTAAGCAAATCTTAATTTATTCTATATAATATTTGTTTGCTGGCAGTGAAATATATATATATATATATATAAATTCAAGATGTGAAAAGCGCATGGAGGATATCATTCAAGAATATTCATTCTATTGTGAGGAGGTTGCATGATATGAAAGGCAAACGGAGGAGACCATTCAAGATGTGTGCAGTGAATCCAGTGATTGACCCATCAAAAAAATCAAGCAATAATTAATAATGGAATAATATGACACTGAGGGGAAAAAAAATCCAAGAATGAAAACCTAAAGATGTTCGTTGCAGGTTCTCAGTAATGGTCATAATCAATAATTCCAAGAATGCCAAACATTCAGCTGGAATGTGAAGAAGAAGATGCCGGGGAAGATGGCAGAAATGAGTCGGGACAGCAAAGTATTTTTCGATGATCATGCCTGAACTTCTGTAATCTCAAGACCTGGAAAATAAAATTCAGAAAAAACATTACTGTGGCAACAATATATACTATGTTCATAACCACAGAGAAGTTTGTGTGATCCATGAGATCAGTGACAACATTTTAATGAATGAAAGACTATTGATATTCACTCTAACGTATGTTTCCTACAAATTATCACCCACCATAAACAAGCTGATTGACAGGATGAAGAGTCCCAACCGAAAGCTCGAACAGAACATGACAGATGATCAAGAAGAGTAATATTATCAATAAATATATATATATATATATATATATATATATAAGTATACACTATTATTTTAATTGCAATCGTATTATTTTGACTAGCAAATAAGAAAATAATTGATGCTCTAGTATTAAGCATAACTGGCGTGTCCTCAGGTTCCCTAAGGTGAAGGTGGGGACTGCATAAACCATGGTACCATGAAGTCGTTTGTAGTACTCGGAGAAAATATATTACAGAAAAAATTCCTGGCCTTTTTTCATTCGTCTCTTCCTTGATCCATTTTTACATTGTAAAAGTGAATGTCATAAACAGCTAAAGTTCAGAATCATTGCATTATAAAAAAAATTACGGTAGTTGAGTAGAAAAGATCCATCCCGTTGACATCAGCATTTTAGTTTCCACAAAACTTGACCATTTTCAAGAAAAATTCACTGTCGCTATTTTGTCAATAAAAAAGAAAAAGAAGAACAGCACTAAGTCTGAGGGTATGTCCTCTCCCAAGATCTCGATTGGGGGGCTATGTCATCTATGTCAAGGCTGAGAGATATCACGATTGCCCTTTGTAAAAGGATCAACTTCTTGTTTAAATGTATGATGATGGGGGACATAGAACACAGAGGTCACCAGATGTGAAACCAATAAACAAAACAATAATATACTACAACCCCAACCAATTTACCGCCTTTAACATTTTAAGTTCATACTCAAATCACTGTCATGAACCATTAGAATGGTTTCGTGTAACCGACATCATAAGCTCATTCCCAAAATTTGGCCCAGTTTGAAGGGAAAGGTCATCCGCGTGGAATGTTTTTCAATGTTTTTATTGATATTATTGTTAAAGTCACAAGATTTTCATGATTCAAAAATGTTGCAAGTCATTTCACAAGGAATAATAACATGAATGTTTTCAGGTATTGTATCTCAGTAATCTGATGAAGACAGAAGTTCCTACTCGCCAGAGTAGTGTGCAGGTGACGATGCTTGCACTGAAGGTTTTGTTGGTGTTGACATTTATCACGCCCAGATTACTAACATAAAACAATCAAGGTGTTGTCGGCCAGAGTAGTGTACCAGGTGAAGTTTATTAACGTTCAACATAAATGGTTTTCAGGCATCGCGTGTTAGTTACCAAAGGCTGTAGCCCAGTGGTACTTCCTCGCCTTCCAAAGTAGAAGGTCGAGGGTTCAAATCCCCAAACGGGCATGTGGGTGGTTCGTTTCTTGCTAAAAGATAAAACAAAATTTGATGGCACCGTCGGTGGAATTCCCGGCAGAAGAGATTAGTGTTTTGGGTACACTCACCTCTGTCATTGCATGAAGTTGTTAGTATTGACACATATCAAGGCACTGAACGTGTGTCACGCCCCATCGATTGTGGGCTCGCAAAAGAGATGTGGTGGAAGCAAATCATTGGGCTGACTCATTGCTAGCCAACAAGGTGACAGGGTTGCAAGTTCATGACCATATCATGGGATTTTTCTCGCAGTCGCCACTGTGCCTAAATTTAAAACTTCAAGTGGACCAAGATCATTTATCTGGGCTACACTGAAATTCTGAACCCCAAGCATATGAGGAACAAGTTAAGAGGCACTTCCTAATCAAGGACACGAGTCTAGGTGGTTAGGTCCAGAGGAGAGCTGGGCTCCCTTGAAAATATTAGGTAGTACGACTATCCTTATGAGCATGCAAAAAATTCTCACGACTGTAAACAGTGGAAATTGAAGGATCCCCTCAATTGGTAAATCTGCAGGTAAAAATTGCTTTCTCAGGACTGTTGTGGTACTAACATTTCCATGTAATGCGGTACTTGTGAGCAAATGGATATTGATATAGAAGAATAACATTGTGGAAAAACATATTGGTTCCATGATTAGGTGGAATGTGCATTTGGTACACCTGATGCAAACTAAAACAAGGAATGCAAACTCTATAGCAGAAAAGCAAATAAGAAAAACTAGCTAGTGTTGCTCTAACAATTATATCTCATCCTATGATAAATTGATTCAAGTTTTATCTATCACCTTGCCTTTTTATTGTAAATTTAGTCTTTTCTATATCTATGAAGCATGGACGAGGATATGTGGTATGGATACATGACATGGAAATATCAATACCTTAAATTTCGAGAAGATATGATACTAACAGGAAGGGCCACAATAACAAACAAAATTGATAACATGGTAACCAATTATTCTCATCATCAAACTTGGACCTATGGTTGCATAGAGTTTATGTTGAAGGCGATGAAAACTGGGGAAATAACAGAGCAAGCAAAACACAAAGGAAAAGGGAAATGGAATAAGGAAATGCACTAAGAAAGAATTCAAGTAAAGCTTATACTCACCGTGTAAGCTGTTCCAAATCGTCCATAGCTTTACTTAATGCATGGAGAGACATCTTTTTTACCTGCACCAAGCAAAAATGCAGAGCAGGTATGACATTATCACAATGTAAATGCCAAAAGCTATTCAAGAAGTCAAATGGCCAAATATTTAAAAGATACAATGGCATTTGACCTATATCAGATACAGGGCAATTAAGCACATTGCTCCAAAAGCTGCATAATGTTCACTCTCTCTTGGATAGGCAACAAATAGAGGATTTGGTTCAAAGCTTACCCCATGTTCCCAACAAACAAGTTATAGACCGTATTGACCTACTCTAACAACCACCTATTACAAACTGCAATGTTCTCGTTTACAAAGAATCTTGTAATCAAATTAAAATGCAAAATTGCCATTGCAGCACCTACTTTATGCAAGCATAAAATGTTAAGGCAGCAATGCAAGAAAACAGCTACCGGAGAATTGGGACATAGAAGGTGAAGCCTGTAACTCAGGTATCTTGAGAGGCACGCTAAAGGATTTTAAGGTTGGAAAGTTTGATCATTGCTTTTGGCTCGTAGATGAGTAAGGTAAGCATAGTTTAAGGAGACAGCATGGGTTAATTAATGATGGTCAGGAACAAGGTAAAGCTATTAACTTAGATGCTAAGTGTTGAAAAGGAAAGATTTGGTAGTAATACTACCAAATATTATTAGCTGTAAATATAATATTTGGAGAATATTTTCTGTAAATAGAATATTGGTCAAATGCTGTAAAATAGGAAATTATTAATTAGGCCAGCTAGGTATGTATGTGTATTCTCTCCTATAAAGAGAACAAACTCGTGAATTGTGTGCTAATATAGAGAAAAAGGTTTTTCTATTTTTCTTTCCTTTATAGTTTATATGGTATCAGAGCCCAGCAAGAAATTTGTAAATACGATGAGCCTCCAAGGTCCGTTTGTAGTGATTGGCATCTTCAGTGGATTTCTATTCATAATCATTGAATAGATCCATGTCCTACCAAATGCGCTTTAATGAATTGAAATACTTGATGATCGAGTCTTCTCCCTGCCAAATCTCACCAAGTTTTAGAGTCAATTCGTAGATCTGAGACTGATTTCCCAAATCAGAGTACAACTGATTTCCCAAATCAGAGTTGTCCCAGAGCTCCTTAGCCGTGGAGTAGCACATATAGTTGGAGCTAATATCCTCGTCCATGGAGTTCACAAGCCAAGTCATCACCATTGAATTTTCTGCATCCTAGGTCACGTACGTTGGGTCCTCCGATGCTGGTGCCTTCTTGTCTCCTGTCAGGTACCCGATCTTTCCCCGCCCTCTGATGTACATCCGAACGGACTGGGACCACCGTAAACAATTGTCACCATTAAGGCGAATATTGGTGATCTGAACCGAGTGAGAATCGGTACTGGGGGCTTGGGTTGTCGGATTTGTTGACTGGGTTGTGATAGGCGAGGATGACATGGAGGAACCGTCAGACATGGCTGATCAGTGAAAAAGAGACTTGCAGCTGACTTTGAGATCAAGGATATGGGTGCATTAAAATACTTTCTTGGAATGGAGTTTGCTAAATCCAAAGAAGGTATATTTGTGAATCAACATAAATATATTCTTGATTCACTTAGTGAGACAGGTCTACTAGGATGTAAACCAGCCGAGACACCCATTGAGCCCAACCTTAAGCTACAGCATTCTAAAGATGAAGAAGTTTTGAATAGAGAGCAGTATCAAAGACTTGTTGGAAGATTGATCTACTTGTCACATACACGTCCAAATATAGCTTTTGCAGTCAGCATGGTTAGCCAGTTCATGCATTCACCTGGACGAGAACACTTTGATGCAGTCTACAGAATTCTTAGATACCAAAAGGGGACCCCTGGAAGAGGTCTATTGTTAAAAAACCGTGGGCATTTGCAAGTTGAAGCCTATACTGATGCAGATTGGGCTGGGTGTGCTATTGATAGACGGTCGACTTCTGGCTACTGCACCTTTGTTGGAGGTAACCTTGTCACCTGGCGGAGTAAAAAACAGAATGTAGTAGCGAGAAGCTGCGCAGAGGCCGAGTTTAGATCAGTTGCTCATGGAATTTGTGAGGTGTTATGGATTAAGAGACTATTGGATGAATTAAAGGTCTCTAATCCATTGCCTATGAAATTATACTGTGACAATAAAGCTGCTATTTCGATTGCTCACAATCCAGTGCTTCATAACAGAACAAAGCACGTGGAGGTAGACAAACACTTCATAAAGGAAAAGCTCGAAAATGGATTAATCTGTATGCCATACATTCCTACTACCGAGCAAGTTGCAGATGTGCTTACAAAGGGACTTCCTACAAGACAGTTCGACCGACTAATTGGCAAGCTGGCTATGGAGGATATCTTCAAACCAGCTTGAGGGGGAGTGTTGAAAAGGAAAGATTTGGTAGTAATACTACCAAATATTATTAGCTGTAAATATAATATTTGGAGAATATTATATTTACAACTAATAATATTTGGTAGTATTTTTCTGTAAATAGAATATTGGTCAAATGCTGTAAAATAGGAAATTATTAATTAGGCCAGCTAGGTATGTACGTGTATTCTCTCCTATAAAGAGAACCTGTGTAAACTCGTGAATTGTGTGCTAATATAGAGAAAAAGGTTTTTCTATTTTCTTTTCTTTATAGTTTATACTAAGTAATTCTAACTGTAAAGGGATTTCAAAAATTAAGAAACTACAACTATTAAAATATGTTTGCAGATCACAGATCTATGCAAATTCATTTTCCACTAGCCGGAATCTTGTCCAGATCCCTTCCAGCCAAATTAACCTGTTAGCCAAATGCTTCTCAAAATTTGATTACTTATTATACTTAAAAATTAAAAGAACGTAATAATTACATGTCAAATTGTAGCAAGACCTTAGCTGAGGAAACAATATTGCTCCCACGACTTCAGAACCAACTTACTGGCCAGATGTGGCCAAAGTCTGGAGGATTCTCAATATAATGTATTGGAAAAAATATTACAAAACAAGATCCACCATACCTCTAGATGTGTCATGTTGTCCATTCCAACCCAAGCAAAAAAAAGAAAGGCTGTGAAATATAAAACCTTTAAGCAAATATAGTGCCGTTCAGGAAACAAGACAATGTACCTCTAGTTTATCTTCCTTGGCTCTATGATTCTTAGGAAGAACACGAAATTCCTCAGTCAAACGAATGCACTCACTGATGTTTTCAGGAGAAACAAAGTCGAGAGCAACCTTAATACATGACTGCATAGGACATAAAGAAGAAAGTTTTAAAAAGAGCCATACAAAATAGATCACTGAATGACGAAATCCAAATGAAAACAATCTACCACCCAAATGAATATTATATGGGTAATATCAATGAACAACAAGGTTCAATAAAAGGGTCTGATAAAATATGCAAAGTGCTAGTGCACAATGGCCAACCCCACACCCTCAAAGATTCTTATATTTCTTCTTTTTCAATGAAAAAAAGTAGCTTTAAAAATATATTATCCCCAATATGCAACCTTTTGATAGTCAATGACTAGATTCTTACTTATCAAGAGTAAATATGTATTTTAGAGATAAAGAAGTCATGTGGAAGTCAGAAGTTGCCATACATGGTTACTCCAGGCATCAGGATAGAATAACTTGACTATGCGTGTTCATGACTTTAATCATATTTACCACATACAGTTTACTTAAGATTGAGTTTCAATTTGTAAGTAAACTGTTGAGGACAACGACAATTGATTACTTCTAGGTTGTAACAGAAGTGCATAATACATTTGCTCTTCTAAGTTCTTTATTTATTTATTTATTTATTTATTTTTTTTTTGAAGTACATATAAAAAAAAGTATATTTTTTGAAGTAAATGACATAAGACTCTTTTCTAGGCACAAAAACTTGTGGAGAAAACCATACAGTTGCTGTGGCAACAAGTATCTAATATGCTAAATGTCAACAGAGTAATGTCAAAAATAACATTCAAGTAAAGACAAACACTTTGAAGAATAATGACGACAAGAAGCAATACAAACACAGGCACGACAACCCATGCCAAAGCAAGCACAATAGATTCTAGATTTATATACAGTGGTGAGTGGGACTTTGAAGAATAATGACAACAATAAGCAATAGCAACACTGGACTGGCATGATAATCCATGCCAATGCAAGCACATAAGTTTCTGGATTTATATTCAGTGTGATTATAAAAGCAAGCATTATTGGCAGCTTTTGCAGAATTTTTCTTTGTCAATTTATTCAACTAAAACATATTCAACTCATTAAATGTTTAATTCTCGCTCATACAGCCTCGGAGTATGTAGGGACCTTTGTCAGAATGGAGAGGTATCAAAATGCTTTGATTTGGGAAATCGTGAAACGAGCGAGGGAGCATTAAAATGAGAAGGTTCTAAAAGTTGTGTTCTGGAAAGACTCCTTTAGTTATATGGTGGTTCAGATATTGAAGGGAAATAAATGCCTAAAAAGCCAGTCAAATTGACATAAATGTTTAAATGAGTGACCTTGATGGATTTATATGCTTGAAAGAGCCACTTGTGGTCAAAATGTACACACGTTCAAGAAAAGGCCAATACTCATAGGATAGTAAATATTCTCACTAGTCATATAAAGATGGCAGATTGTACTATAAAGTATAATCTATACATCCTAAACGAAAAAAAAAACTAATGCGTGACATACCTTAAGATTTCTAACCTGATGAGGACACCCAGCAGGTATTAAGACAGCCTCTCCAAGTTCTTGCACAAATGTCCAAGGTTCAACTCCTGCATTAAGCATTCAAGTGAATTATTGCTCAAATAATAGTGAACGAAACAAAGCACAAAGGCCAACCAAGCTTTGATAAACAACAACTAACCGAATTCCTCTTTGAGCTTCCTTTTATGATACAAATTGAGGTAGAAAGTCTGATCATGAATAGGGTCAACCACCTATAAAATTAGATAAATATAAATTATGATGCAAAACTTTTATAACTATATCCATTTATTGATTAAAATTAGAATCCAACTTCTCAAACTGATTACAGATTAGTAACTATGAAATAAAACAATCTAACACTAGAATACTTTTGGGTAGAGAATGAGATTTACAGCGATGTTTGTACGACACAGAAGTTTACAATTTCAGAGGAAATAGAAAATGCATACTTTTTGAAGAAAAAAGACCCTTCTATTGAAGAAGAAACCTTAAGGCTACAGATGAGGCGTCCCCAGGGTCAATTACAAGAAAACACCTTAGGACAAGCAGCAATACAGATATGAGAAGGAAATCTAAAACAACAGAAGGAAAGGGGCAATAAGAAGTATGATGCACCCTTAACTGTTATCTGGTAAACTTTTTAAAATGTGATGTTGCACACAGCAGAAATGTAACCTTGTGGAAAAAACAAATATGAGTCATATGACCTATTTAAGGTAAAAAGCTAAAACTACGTTTACAACAAACTAATTTCCTCTACTTAGTTAATATATATATATATATATTGAAGGTTATGCTTAAGTTGGGTGGTTTTCTTCTTGTAACACAAAATGGTCTGAGTAAGTTGGACGGTAAAGCTGAGCGAGTATCAATCTGTTCAAGATTGGCACAGAAGTTGGTGCTACGCTTGGGAACTCCAAAGCTCAGCTTGGTGAACTCAAAGCTATAAAAAAGGGTAATTTTGTTATGCATTTAATTTTCTTGTTGCCAAATTCAAGTATTTGATTTGAAAAATAGAATGTCAAAACAAAAGTTGATAATATGACAACCATGATGTCAGAAACCAAAATGCATAACAAATTTACTTGTATAACACACCAAACATGTTTCTAAGATAATAAATAGCCACATAACTTGTATTAAACTACATAGCTGCTGTCACACCACCATGTTCATGAGTTGAACAGAGCACAGCTTGGGTCTGCTTGGCCGTGACTCATTTATTAAAAGTTCGCAAAGATTAGCTGTTTTGTAGCACAAATGAGGTTGAACAAGCCCATTAACGACAAAAACCGATTTGAGTCCAAACTGCTCATAGAGAGCTCAGTTGATTTTCAACCTTATGCACGAGTAACAAATTAACAATATTATTATTTTTTACAGGTCCTCTTATGGTCTCTTTGGCTTGGGAGTTGGCTTATATGGTCAACTCTTAGATCAAGAGTTCGAGGAATGGTAGAGAGAGAAGAGAGGCAATATTATTAATTTTCTCAAGAAGTTGTTTAATCAAATTGTCAATCTTGCATATAAATGCAAATCTAATGTCACAGATAAGACCTTTTTTACAAATAAATATCGTGATACATGAACTTAAGAACAGATTTTGATATGTTATCTGTCATTGAATGTACTTATGAGGTGCTACTAAAAATATTTACCATATTATAATCATAAACTGTTACCATGTTATAATCATAAAATCCTTCTTAAGTTTAAGAATACGTAAACTTAAGAACAGATTTTGATAAGTCATCTGTCATTTAATGTACTTATCAGGTGTTACTAAAAATATTTAATATTTTTAAATTTCATGTCAAAATAAAATTGAATAATGGAATAAACAGATTTGGCCTAATGCAATCTTTTTTTTTGATAAGTAAAATTTTATAAAAAGCGCTCAAAAGGGGAGCGAATCCCAAAGAAACACACTAAGCCAAAAAGCGCCTCAAGCCTTCAAAAAGGCCAAAAAAACAACAATCTCCTCTACAGATCTATAATCTCTCCAAGCATCCTGAATGAGAGCCCCCACTGAAAAACCTTTCCAAGCCTCAATCAACCCTCTAGAGGATTTAGGCATAACCCAAGGAATCCCAAACAACCTAAGCATCAAATCCCAACAGTCCCTAGCCATGCTGCAATGTAACAGAAGGTGATCAACTGTCTCCTTATCGCGTAGGCACAAGTAACAACAATTAACCACCACCTAATTCCTCCTCCTCAAATTATCCTGGGTTAAAATCCTACCCAAGACAGAAGTCCAAGCAAAGAAGGCCACCCTAAGGGGAGCCTTAGAACAGCAAACAGACTTCCAAGGGAAAGGGCCTCCAGAACCAACCATAAGACACCTGAAAAAGGAATGAACTTCGAAACAACCCTGAGAGTTAGGATCCCAAAGCCAAATATTAGAATCCCCAGCTATAATCACCTGGCGATACAACAACTCCAGAAAACGAGTGACCTCCTCAATCTCCCAGTCTTGAAAGTGCCTCCTAAACTGAACATCCCAAGCCAGTCTCCTGTTATCAAGATGATAACAGTCAACCACCATAGCCTGCCTATCAGAAGCAATCCTGTAGAGCCATGGGAAGGGGAGAGCAAGAGGAAGCTCCCCACACCAAAGATCCTCCCAAAATTTGATCCTCCAACCATCCCCAATCCGAAAACGAACATGTTTGCAGAAATCCTCCTACCCCTTCCGAATGAAAGTCCAAACCCCCACCCCCTAGGACCACGCACCTCAAGAGAGCTCCGCCCTCCACTGCTCTCCCCATATTTATTCGCGATAACCCTCCTCCAAAGCCAATGCGCCTCAAACCCCAAACCTCCAAAGCCATTTCCCAAGGAGAGCCTTATTGAAAGGCACCAACCTCCTAATCCCTAAACCTCCACTTCGAATCAGACAACACACTTGCTCCCAACGAACCAGATGATACTCTCCCCCCCCCCCCCCCCCCCCCAAATAGAAAATTGCACTGCAATCTCTCAATTCTCTCAGCCACAGAAGAAGGAATCTGAAAAAAAGAGATGAAATAAGTGGGGAAGCATGAAAGGGTGCTCTTAATTAGAGTGACCCGACCCCCTTTTGGAGAGGTACTGCTTCTTCTATCCTGTCAGCCTCTTATCAAATCTATCCATAACCGGATTCCAACTCCCCACACACCTCGAAGGAACTCCTAAGAATCTGAGCAAACAGCTCGATCTCAGGGACCTCCCGCACTAAAACGCTCTTTCCGACATTCATCTTAAGCCCAGAGACAACTTGGAACCAGACCAAAATGCATCTCAGATATCTCAACTAGGACACATTTGCATCACAAAGCACTGAAGTATCATCCGAAAACATTAAGTGGGGGATCTCCAACTGATTAGCAACATCCCTGCCCACCCGAAAACCTCTCAAAATGCCCAACTCGATAGTCGTCTTCATCAATCTACTAAGAGCCTCCATCACAAAAAGGAACAAGAAAAGAGAAACCGGATCCAGTTGTCTCAAACCCCTCGAACTAGAGAAAAACTCCGTCGGGGCTCC